CGGGCCGTGTGGGCAAAAAAGAGTACAGTGGCACTACTGTTGATCTAGGCTTTGTGTGGGCCAAAACCCTTGTTTATGTACGCCAAGCCGTGGACCACAGGCAGCATCATGGTGATCTTCCATTAAGCACAGGCTCACACGCAAGTCCAATCCTTCTCTCTCTCCCTCCCTCCCTTGTTGTGGTCGCCTTTTGGTGTCAATTCTCGCTCGAATTGGAGATCATGTGCCCGGATGGCCTTTTGGCCAAAAGCTGGAGGGGCTCAACTGCTTCCAGGTGGTAAAAGTGGCCACCAAACCGATCTCAAAAGACCAGCTCTACGAGCCTATTACCTACTAAGTAGTACTAACTTCGGTTATATGACATGACACTGCTGCTAATCTGCGCACGTAATCCTCCTCGTCGTGCGCCTAACCTTTTCCTGGCTTCTTTAACCCTGTGCAGCAAACCAGTTGCTAATCAGTCGAGCTTCCGCAGAGTTGGCTACGATGTAAACGTTTTTAACTAGTCTTTTGCATAGCATCCATATTGTCGTACTAGAAACGTAAGAAGAGTCGAGTTCTGGATGTAAAACAAGTCATGAATGGTCTGAATTGTTTCGATTTATCTATATCTCTAAAGTACAGTACGTCTGAATTCCTCCATGTTTAGCCAAAAGGAGTGTACTGTTTCACGATGTGCCTTTTTCGTCAGCTGGCTCTTAAGTCTGTGTCGAAAAGACCACTGCTCCCTAGTCTTTTTTTTTTTTTTTGAAACTAGGCAAAAGATTTGCCATTTTCATTGATTAAGAGAGAAGTTTTAGAGGTTAAGGTCAAAGGCCAAATTACAACAATCACTCTCGCGGCATTATGTTATTCAACTGCCTTGCTTCCGCAATGCTCCAAAGTAAGGTCTCCTCTTTAATCCTAGCAACGACATTTCTAGGCGCAAATCAATAATATATCTACACAAGTTGTTTTCGTCGGTTGTTATGGGGAAGAGTAGTATGTAGGCATTTTATCATTTTGCATATGAAACTGATAAGATTCTCCCTGCTTACCGGTCAATAACTCAATATGCATGGTGAAGTGACGCAAGGCGCGTAAACAACGCCAACGATGTATTTTTTAGCGCGTTGAAAACCATAAAAGAAAATTCAAAGAATTCAAAACCAGAACATCCTTGAAGGCAATGTCATTTTTTTTGTGGGGAGGCAATGTCAACTGTTGCAAATGGCTATAAGCGAGGGGAAATACCCTGCGGTTTATATGGAGAACAAAAATTGCAAAAAAAAGACAAAAAAAATTAGAAGTTTTTTCAGAATAAACCTGACTTTCTTTTGCACTAGTACATAAATTTTCACGAATAAAAAATCAGCAGTGACTTCAGGGGAAAAAATATTTGATATTATAGGTCACTATCTATATTGGTCGATTTTTTTTCAAAAAGAAGTCAACGGGGGTTTTACTTTTTGTGGATTTTTTTACAAGTACAATAGAAGGTCAAGTTTATTTCAAAAATATTTTCAGATATTTTTACTTTTCATTTAATTGCTATTTTTTCCATATAGGATGTATATACACCCATAGACCAAACATCCCTGTCCTATAAGCGAGGCGATAAATTTCGATAGCTCATCACTAGTCGTACGTAGGTGGGCCGGCCCGTTTACGCCCATTTCGATAGCTTATCACTCACTAGTCCTTTTTTAGCAATAGCTCATCTGTCATCACCAGTCAGGAAGGCCAAATCTTATTTGGTGCTTAACGCGCCAAATAGCGGGC